CTTGGCATAAAAGGTGTTCTCACTTTTGATAATGATCTAAAAATACAGTGTACTGTGAGTCTATTAGGGCTCTGTCAGTGGCAGGTATGTGAGAAACCTACTTTAACACATCGCAGTTTGATTTCCTTACATCCCTGTTTTGCTATTCTGAAAAACATTATGTAAGTATCTCATGGATGTCACTAATACGGCACTGAAATGCAAGTGCAAAAATATTCAGTGTGAATTTATGGTAACTTAATGTGTTACCATGACAACTAGCCATAAAACAAAGGAAACGTAGATAGTGCAAGTTAACTCAATTGCTACATCTTTTAACTTCTCAAAACTATATTTATACTTTTATATTTTATTTTTACTCGTACATACACATTTATATGATTATGCTTTATCTGACACCAGTTTTTTTTTTTTTTAATACCATTTATATTTTTGCTCTCTGTTATTATAATGTATTGAGATGTATGAGCTACTGTGCCCAAATAATTTCCCTTGTGGATCAGTAAAGTTTATCTAAGTTTAAGTCTAAACAACTTGAAATAAAACATGTAGAAAGATATTTTAAAATCTATATGAAGAGAAAAGAATGATAAATTGCTAGTGTCTGTTAAAAGCTCTAGACTTTAATTTTTCTCCATGTATTTGAGCAAAATCTGTCTTGCCCCAGCACAGTTTTATTGTATAAGCAGTTGAGGTCAAAATATGTTAGCTGTGTGCTGTCTGATTAGAAAGCCTTTTATTGTCCACTAATCAGGAAGTGTAAGTTAGCATGCTAGATGTTGTTTGTTTTACTGTCACGGCAAAACTCCTCACTTGTCGAATGATTGGAATGCATAAGGTAACTGAGGAATAACTTTGGACCAAATTATATTCTAAAAAACACATAATACATACATCAATAAAAAGTAGTGAAATTACCAAAAAGTTTGAAAGTACAAGTAGAAATATTTTGCCCGTTTACAGACTAAGTCAAATATTTTCAGTAACAGTCACTATAATATCTCTTTCTCATGTCCCCACTTTACTTCAGAGAAACTTACGACAAAATGTGCGAAATAAATTTCAATTCCATCAAGATACAAAGAAGAAAAAGACAAAAATAGAATCTGACACATTATACTGAAAACTTCTGAACACCACCAACCTACAGTACTCTATGCACAACTAAATGCCTCTGTTTTTACATTCCCATTTTACTTTGTGTATTTTTCATGTTTATGTTCATGCTTTTAAATTGACCAGATGGCTGTAGCGGTCACTGCAAAGATACAGACAAACAGGAAATACAGTATTTATGTGCTGTCGTTTGAATTTGGACAAATTGTACTTTTGGAGAGGACACACAGAAAAGAGGTGCGCATTACCTCAAGCACAACTATTTTTAGAAGCTTCAGATAATATTCCTGGAAGTTGATACTAAATGGATTTTGTGCAACTTTGACATTTTACCAGGATAATGTTAAACAGCTAAAGGGATGTAACTTTTTAGAGGTGGAACTGCATGAGTCCATGAAAATAGAAACAAAACCATACTGCAGAATATTCTCCATAGAGATAGCAAAGTTTTATGCCATACTGTGAAATATTATAAGCAAAACAACATTTCCATTAAAACAAGCATGAGACTGCCCTCCTCCAAGCCATTCAGAGTCAGGTTTGTGGAGATGGTAAGTAAGGATGTCTAGTAAAAACATTCATAATAAAAAGCATACATTTATTTTAGCCAGTTTTTTGACAGAAAAGTTACATGCTATGGCTTTACTTTGAGCTTTCTGATTATGGTAGCCCTATAAGGAATAAATCTATCAGCTTTCACTATCAACTTATTTTCAGGGTTATTAAATACACTAAAATACTATACATGCATTATGAATTTCAGACTTCTGGTCATTGCGCAATGCAAACTGGGAAGGATTCCCCAGTATGCATTGCCGAATTTTCCGATTGTTTCTAGTTCTGACATTGTCATATTTTAGTTTTGGGATTCAGACATTGTAATTGTGTGGTTGTTGGATGTCCTAACAGCGGAAAACGGCTCGAGAAATTTGTTTGCGAATTTCATAACGGCAAAAAGGGAATCTGATGTGTGTGACTGCAAACCTTCGTTCAAACTGTTTCCCTTCCCAACAATTGAAAATTAGTGAAAGGCGAAGGCGATGGGCAGTATTTATACACAGGAAAGACGAAAAAGGTAACTTTTGACTACCTAAATCATCCCAGTTTGCAGCGAACATTTTGTATGTGGAGCGCCAAACAAAACTAAATCCCGATCCTTCGCTCAACCTTGGTTACGAAATTTAAAAAGTCAATGCCAAAGCGAAAGGCACTAGCTGTTCACCAAGAAACACCTTCCACTGCAAAGCGACCAAGACATGATGTTGCTGTATAGCCACGAGAATGTGCAAGCTCAGCCTGTTTGTCCTTCTGTACCTCTCGCTAAACACACAGGATCCCGTTTTGATGGCGCTCAACATACAAAATGTTGATGGGATGATTTAGGCAGCCAGAGGTTACCTTTTTCGTCTTTCCTGTAAATCAGTACTGCCCATCGCCTTCGCCTTTCACTATTTTTCAATTCCCCTGGGAAGGAAAACAGTTTGAATGGAGGTTTGCAGTCACACACATCTGATTCCCTTTTGCATTTATGGAGTTTGCAAACTTCCAAAGCCCATTTCTCGAGCCGATTTCCAGTGTTAGGACATCCAACAACCACACAATTACAATGTCCGAATCCCAAAACTGAAACATCAGAATCAGAAACAAAAGTGATATGGTTCAAAATACTAGAAAAGATTGGCTTTGTTAATAGACGCGTCCCACTGGGAAAACAAACATGGCGGTTTGATGCTCAGTTTTACGGAAAATCCTTCTCAGTCTGCATTGTGCGATGACCAGAAGTCCGAAATTTGTGATGCATCTATTGATCGCTATGAATAACACTAATACTTACAGCAATTAATTGTATGTGAAAGAAAATATGTGTCACTATTCTCATGAAAAAAACAAAAAACTAAAAAAATTAAAAATAAACTTATTTTATTTAAATAAAATAAAATAAATACATCTCTCGATACATGTCAACACACTAGTCATTTTGGAAGGTATTTTTTAATCCAAACTCTTAATCTATAGCTTATGATAAATCATATTTTGTAGGCCCATATAGGAGGAGTGTATCAGTATAAGATGTGTTAAACGTATAAAACTCCAGTGTTACTAAAGGGATTGTCCAGCCCCCATCCCAATCCCTCCTGCAGGCGACGTTAGCGTGACCGCTTCACCCGTATTATTCACTTCTCAACTTAGTTCTGTTAGCGCCTCAAGCTAGCACCAGGAAGACACATGTGACTCAGAGGAAGCGAGAGAGAGAGAGAGAGAGAGGAGATCAGAGTCGTGACAGGTGTGAGGGAAGATTTTTTTTTCTCAATTTGTACTCAATTAAATGTGTAGTTGCAAATTATGATCAGTGAAAAGTGAAATTATTATTCACAGTAAAATGATTGGCCACTAGAAAAGGTTTGTAGTTCTGGTAGGCATACTGTGTGGCAATTAATTTGGCTACAAGTGATAGGCAACTACACAATTAACCCGACCATAGACTGTGTAAAAAGGACTAAGGGAGTGTGACGTTACCCATTGTGTTCAGCTCCAGTCAAAAGAAGATCATGAGGCTAGCAGTTATTGGAGCAAATCTGGAGCCAGTTCCATATTAGGAAGAGCAAAGGAGAAAATTCAATTTGTCAACTGGACAAATGTTTATTTTGATCGAAAACATTTCACAGCTCATCCAAGCTGCTTTTTCAGTTCTGGTCAGACGCTGGTGGACACTTCCTTATACCTGCCTGAAGGGAGGAGCTAACTACACTGAAACTACTCTGAAACAGAAACAGACAGAAACCGGTCCACCTAAAGCACGCCCAAAGCCATCAGGAACTCAACCTCTCTACAAACAGTTTTTAATGTTTATCAGAAAATAACCACTCAGTATTCTGTTTGAGTGTAATTTTTAGGACATTTAGGGCCGGATTCAGGATTCGGGACAACAGCTTAGATTTCAGAACTGTCCCACGTCTGGCCACCCTAACCTGGACGACTGAAGGATTTTACACACATATTAGGAACAGGACTGTTTTTTATGGACAAAATAACAAAACAAAAACACCAGGGTTGTGGAGTGGGTTAATACAAACAATTTAAGACCAAAATCACGAAGGCTCACTGCACCAGTTACAGAGAGATTGGTGACAATTTTTTCAATGTAAAGTCAATTGGAGCCAATGGAGCCAGAAGCGCCGCAATGCTCACTTCCTATTTGGAATGTGATGGGAAGTGGGTTAGCTATGGCCATTTATAAATACAGTCTATGAACCCAACCAATGTGAACAGAAATATGTAAAACATCCATTTTTACTATAGTTAGGTTAAATTAGGTTACTTAGGTTAAGGTCCCATTTATAGTTGTTAAAAACCACACAGGAAAACATGTGCAAGTCCAACATTAGACAAGGATCTGTTGTCCCAGGTCCCAGGGTTTTAGGGGTCCAGAACTGGAGTCTCTATATTAAAGTGGGGCTCATGCGAGACTTCTTGCCCCAAGCCCCCAAATTTCTTTCAACGGGCCTGCTCCTAAACTACATCACTGTATCAATCGGTACAACTGCAAATCGATTTAGGTAACTGCTAAAAAACAATTAGCAGCAATGGCGCTAAAACAAGAGGCAACTGATTCAAAATGGTGGTGCTACTGTCTCACAGAAAGCAATTAGCAGGTGTTGTTAAAGTCATGGCCTAATTAGGTTTTAGAGCACTTGGGGCAAGAGGAGATAGAGGAAGGGGGTCTTAAACTCAGGGGCAGGACTGAACCCGAAAATTTTGGTCTACAGCCAAGGTGAATGCTGGCGGGTTACCATATGTCATACTAATTAATGGCACTGAAATATTGCCTTTTCTTTTGGCTCCGTTTTCATTGAGGTTAATGGGCTCATCGTCTGATCACTCACCTGTTTAAGTGGGCCTGCAGTACTGATCCACAGGGGTATCCCAGCCTTAGCTCCCGAGGCGTTGGAGAGAGGATTCGCTAGTTGATACCAAACCAGTCCAGTTCAAAAAGTCTGCATTTTTCATTTCACATAGTCCAAATTCAAGCTCAAACAAGTTCTGCTCCACTGCTTTTGTGCTTTCTTGATTCCAGTTTTGTCTACCAGGTTAATCCGTACATTGGCAGACGCCGTGGAGCAGCGTTCCTGTGTTGAGCCAGTGCAAATGTTTGCGTCATATTACTTTTCAAATTCCATGCATTTTTTTTCAATCTCTCCGACAAAGTTTTCATTTCATATATTTGGATATACTGTGTAAGTGCCGCTGCTTTGAAAACAACTGGGTCCACCTAAACAGAGATAGTGATACAAAAACGTTGAAATCCACCAATGATGTTGCTTTCAAATCTTGTGAGAACCAGGTGAAGGTCTATATGCCTGTGTTATAGAGAAACAAAGAATGAGGGGAGTAAAAGGGAGTGACAGAAGGGGCACAGGAGAGGGCAGTCCAGGTGTTGTTTTTTTTTTTCTTCTGGCTTTTTCATTAGGCTGTCCCTGGTGGTGCAGTGTGCGCTCCACGTCCACCATTTTGAACAACAACATCAGGGCTCTGTGAAGACAAAACAAACAGCAATAAGTGAAAGGTCATGAAGTGCTCCGAAGTCAATAAGGACAACACTGTTTGCTGTTGTACATGAAAGATTTCAGACAATTGGCTGTCAGTATCTATTTCAAAAGTGGTGTATTTAATGCCAGAGTATAAGCTTATATTGTGGGGACTGACTTGTTTTTAATGTGACTTAACTTAAAGGGCCCATATTACACTATTTTCTGATCTGTTATAATGTTTCCTCATCATAAATATACCTGGAGTTGGTTGTGTTTTGTTATATTGGCACATATTTATCACACAAATACTGAATATTTAGGCTGAGTTCTTCTTTCGAACAGGAAACACCCTGTTCCACCTTCTGATGTAATACAGAAAGTGCTTCACTGTGTTTTTAAATTCCATACGCCTTCACTAGAATCATTTTATTAATTCCAGCCCATAGCCCATAAAAATAGAAATCTTTACCAAACTTAAAGTAAATTTAGGCTACGTTTATATGATGACAGTCTGAACAGAAGACCCAACTTTTTATTCCACGTTCAGACAAGCGTTTTTGTGAGAAAATTTGCGTGCATACAGTGATGCAAAAGTGTGTGGAATTTGATTGTGTATGCATGCAAGGCGGCTAGGTGGTGACGTTAGGTGATGATGTATGTGACGTAAACGTGTAAGTGATGTGAGCAGATCAGACCAGAGTTTTGTGTCTTGAGCAGTGGAAACGGAAAAACCATGGCGGAGTGTATTCAACTTTTCCACTCTGAAGGGTGTTTTCAGATTTTTGTGTTTTTAAGCCCCAAAAACACCATCACCGTCCAAATGAAAGGCACTTCCGATAAAATATTTAGTCGTTTTAACCCACAAAAACAGACCCTGAAAAAATAATAATAACGTAGCATTATAACATGGCTTAAAGCTCAAAAAAGTCAATTTTGCGTAACATAGAACCTCACCAGGCCAAATAAGAAGTCAGATCTGTGGAAAAAAATCCTCACAGTAATAATCCATGCTTTTTTATGGTAATTTTGATCAGTAAAAACATCAGAATGAAATGAATGCTAACTAGATTAACGCTATACTGTGGAACATCCCTGGCAATGCAATAACCTGACTGACTCTGAACAGAAAACATATCGGGAGTGCATCTTTAAAATGGCCGGTGACGCAGCTGCCTCTGGTGTTATTTCTTTGTTGTCCTAATACCAGGTGTAGCTGTTTTTGTGATTTTATGAAAAGCAATATTAACAGAAGCTAAACAAATCTGCTGATCTAACAAGGAAAATAAAGGCATCTGTGGGGGCAAGAGTTTTGCTGTGAAAATATGGTGACAATATAAGACTTTGGAAAGTTTAAAAAAGTGCATCTTGTTCTATTGATCAGCATTTGCAGTTTTAAGGTATGGTACTGTAAACATATATGATATCTTATTGTGCATAACAATTTTAACAGTCATTTAATTATGGGAACAAACCATGCCATAAATGTATTAATATAACAACTGAACATTTTATCGTTTTATGGTTTGCATTAACATGGTGCAGCGTAATTCTGGCAACCAACCTGCCAACAGTATATTACCAATTACATATATATATATTTTTTTACATTATAGTCTTACACAGTGACTGAGTGAGCAATTTGGTGAACTTGAGTTTGGGGCCGTCACTATAATGCACCGTTTTTGTTTTTGTTTGGTTTTATTATTTTTCTTATGATTATTATTTAAAAGTAAACTACTCCCATTTAATATCATACTGAAAGAAAATCAAATTTCTCTAAGGCCTAGGCCATTAATAGCACTGAGGGAAATTGATTGGGGGCCCCTCCAGGTTTGGGGGCCCTAGGCAGCCGCCTACTTTTGCCTAATGGTAGCGCCGCCTCTGGTCTTACACTACTATAAAGTAAAATATACTGTACTGGAAATCCACATTTTACAGTACAAATGTGGCAACCACTCTTGCCAGTAATATATTAACAGTGTAAAATATATTGGTTCCATGGGTAACATAATTTCAGTAGAACATGAATTTTCTGTGTGGGGCCAACTCTATATTCTGTAGATGTTCATATGTCAGTTTAGGGCAAGACACAAGACATATGATTTGAAACTGATCATATATTTTGTCCCAGAGATCGCAGTGGGAATTTTAAAATGCTTTTATGTCCCACAAACAATGCACCTAATTAAATTGTTTATTAAAAGGTCCTATATTACGCAAAATCGACTCTTGTGAGCCATTAGTCATTTTATAACACTGTTCCTCAAAAATATACCCGGAGTTGTGTTTTGTTTCGTTCACACATGTTTGAGTACCCTTTTTTTTATTAGTCTACATCTCCAAAGCTCAAAATGTTCTGTTCCACCTAGCGATGTCAAGAAGGAGTAGTTGTAACGTTAACAGCTACCTTTTACCTTTTGTTCACTAGAGATTCAGCAGAGTTTCAGATTGGGAATTCCTGCTGAAATGATCCAAATGATTCTATTGAAGGTGTATGGAGTTTAAAAACGCAGAAGAACACAATCTTAAAATGCAGGGTTTGTGTGTTAAACATGTTTGATGAAACAAAACACTTGTTATGTGTCTGATGAGCAAATTATAACATAGCTCACAGAAATAGCGTAATATGGGCCCTTTAGGTTACACTTTACTAAGACCAGAAAATGGAAAATGACATAAACGACTCCCGATAGAGTTTACTCTTTATGCTATTTCCTTTTGTGTTATTCTGCGTCTGTTGAAAACGAGCAGTGCTGTGTATTTAATATATATCACATCCAGTGGGAGAACAAGGATGATGCAACAGTATGGAGCTCTGGAGGTTTGAAATGTCAGCTTTACTTCACATCTGTGTGACTGGATCTCACCATTTAGACCAGAGCCTTTTAGTCATTAAATGCCAACTACAGCGCAACTTCCCCCGGCATCCTGCTGCCTTACAAAGCATGACGCTGTACCCAGGTTCCCTTAATTGCCGCTATTATTGCTTCTTTGCAGTGGTGTTTAAAAAGCCCCCATTAAAGCTATATTTCTAACTTTTAACTCTCCAAATTTGCTCACATTTGTCACGGATGTGCAGGACAACAAAAATGAGTGAAGACAACAGAACAGTGGTATTTTGTTGGATAATAAATAGAGAGTGTGCTGTGGTGGTTTGTCTTTCTTTTCTTAGCTGTGCCATTTATAGTTGGTTATTAGGGTACATTTTAAACAGTGGTGGAGTGTAACAAAGTGGTAAAGCACTGTACTTAAGTACAAATGTTGGGTATCTTTACTTTACATTATTGTACATTTTTAGTGAATACTTTTTACTTTTCCTTTATTACATTTGAGAGCAGGTATCTGTGTTTCTACTCCACTACATTTTGAACAGGACTCTCAAACTGAATACACTTTGTGATGTCATGTGGCAACACAGGAAGTGCTCCAATGTGTTTTTAAACTCCATACGGCTTCACTGGAGTCATTTGGATAATTCAGCCCTGGAATTGCCAATCTCTACTGAACTAAAAGTAAAAGTTTCAAGACATTTCAAGGTGGAACAAAGCATTTTGAGCTTTGGAGATGCACAACGTAATAATACAGGCTTATGTAAACGTGTGAGTAAAGCAAAACCCAACTCCAGGTATGTTTGTGATGAGGTAACATTATAATAACAAAGCTTAGTTATGAAGTTAACATATTAAATATTAATATAGGACTTTTACATAAATTATACATTGTACTTATAGGTCACTAAATAATAAATGATAAACTTGTCTTAAGAAAAGAATATAATAACTAAAACGCATTTAAAACGATTCAGAAATAGTCATACATTTCAAACCAGCAAAAAAGTTTCAACCTCTTTCAGACAAGATAAATATCCTACACAAGTACAAGCCATTTAAGCTTCTGCTGCTTGTCACATTTTGCAGTGTATGTGTGAAGCAGCATCTTCTTTAAGTGTCTTTATGTAGCATCGGCATTTAAGGTGTCACTTTAAGAATGCTACATGCGTTCCCTCGGTAACGCTTACATCCATCACATATGCTCTGTCTGCTCCTCCATCTCCCTATACTTTTCTCCCTCACCATCAATCCAGAGCAGGCTGCTGAGGGACGGGAGGAGATACAGGGGAAAGAGCCGTAAACCACATGTGATAAGATTTGTCTGGGAGGGCAGGAGAGATGGACGAAGGGCAGGAGAGATGGACGGAGGACAGGGAACGAAGGCGGAGATGGTCCAGACAAAGAGGTGGGAAGATGGATAAAGAGAGGAGAGGGGAGGAGAAATAGGGCTTATCACGTAAACAATGTGGGCAGAGAGATACGAGCAGCAGGGGCACAAAAGGAGAAAAGTACTTCACTAAAGGCAGGACAATTAGACAGGGAAGTAAGAGGAAGTATTCACCCAAAGTAAATACTATGTAGTGTGTGTAGTGTCAAGCAAGTCTGTAAGTTATTAGCTAAAATCTATTACTACTACTATACTATTACTATTACTATTACTATCAAAAATGTGTATGTACTGTGTTGATACTTTGCAGCCCCAACATTCCCTGGGGGTCTGAAGCTAACTGTAGGCACTACTCTGATAGAAATTCTGCTAATTTAGTTTTACTTTATTTTATTTTAACACAATCAGACCAAAAAGTGCAGATTTAACTGAAACTACACTAGGTGAGATGATTTGTGCCAAAAGTACACCTTGTCTCTCATCTTTTTGTTGAGAATCAAGCACCTAAACAGGACCATGAATGCATGTAGTGGTAGCAGGCTCCTAAATCTGCTGTTTAAATCAGTTTTTTTTTTTTTTCTTGAGTTTTCAGATCTTAAAACAGTTTTGTCTGTGTTTGCTAATGCACGCAATGTGTCACTATGGTAATTCCTAAACATTCCACCATAGGAGATGCATGTAGAACCCCTCAGTGTGACATCACAGCAAAGTATCAATTAAAACAGACCAAGAGTCCACTTTGTGGAAACCGTCTGACCTGGCAGCATTAGGATTTGTTCGCTCGACCATAGGCCGATACTTTTTTTATTCAACCAATCGCTGCTATTTGGTCGTGACGTATGCAATGCAGTACCACAAAAAGGACACAGACAGGCACTTGAGTTTGACGTCATGGCTTCACAGCTCTTCGCTGATTGGCCGGTGCACAGTCTACAACTTCCGGGGTTCTTGCAAACCATCTAGTGTATTCTCCTGACCTCTTCCTGACCTAGTCACTGGAGAGAAATGAAATTGAGTGGAGTCACTAGGTGGCACCAGCCTGGCTGTCAGATGCAACCCTCCAGCCATGAAATGCTCTGGTCTGATCATTTTTGCACCACATTCTTTGTCCCTGATATTGTATAGACGTGACTAACAGGTGGAGAGCACAGAAAGCCATGGCAGTAGGTAAAATAAGTTACATATTTTGTTCAGAATAATACAAGAAATTTTAAGGTGTCTTTAACATTTTTTGGGACATGTGCTACAAATAAGCAGCTGTGACTGGCACATCCCTAATAAGTACCATTGTCACACTATGGTCTGGTCCCAGAACTATCTGGGATTAAATGAAACTATGCAATGAAACTATTACCCTATTACCCTATCCACTACAATACCTGTTGTGTTGGTATGTATAAAGGCATTACTTGGCAATGTGTTATATCTGAAATGTTTTATTTAATTTGGGTGAAATTGTAGTGCTTTGATAGAGAGTTCAGAGGAGTGAGGGATTGGGAGCCCAGAGGGATTAAGGACTGGACAGCAGGAAAGGGGGCAGGCATCTTGGGAAGGGAGGCTTCAGTTTTAAGTGCCAGTCATTACTTTGAGAGTGAAGTTTTGTGGTCTACTGAGCTTCAGATCTTATAGGCCCTCCACTCCACACTACGAGGCCGTCTGCTGTCTGCTGCTGGAGGCGTCCGGGAAGACAGGGAGGTGAGAGAGGGTGAGAGAGAGAGGGAGAGAGAGAGAGGGAGAGAGAGACAGAGGGAGAGAGCAAAGCCAAAAACAATCGTGAGAGTGGAGACATGACAAGAAGCAATATGAAACACACAAACACATAGGGCTTCACAATATATCAAAAAGTTACTGTTTTGGTGTTCAGGCTATGTGGATCTCCTCAAACTGGATCACAGCAATATGAGCGTCTATCTGCCAGAGAAGTGGGCCGTACTTTCTCCAACTTTTATCTGCTCTTATATTTCCACACTAAGTAACTTTTTTTGAAAGACCTGCATTCGGTAGGTCCGCCTCTCTGCAGATCTGACATTGAACTGCTTGTGTCCATAGAGATAGAGACTTTCTTGCCATGTGGAAAATTCCAGGCAAAGCAATAACATCTCCATGAAGACAAATATGTGGCAGACCCTCCATATGAACTAACTACTGTCGGTAATTAGTTGTTTCTTTATTAACTGATTTGTTGGAATAGTATTGATTAGAGACTGACCAATGTTTTTTTTTTTCTTTCATGGCTGATGCCAATACAGATACCGATATTTTGGGGCTGATATACAGGGCAAATTTGTATTATTTTCTAACTATTCTATTTCTAACTACTACTTTTACAACTATTTTCTTCATTATTTGTCTCCAAAACCAAAATGAAAAAAACATAACCATTCGTTTTTTTCAGTTTTTGATTTTGGGTTTAAATAAATAATGGAAAAAATGGATAACGGCTTCTTGTTTCCATAACTAAAACTGCAATGCTGGACTTATGCGCCACATACAGACTGAACCAGGACTAAAACAGGACTAAAACAGGACTAAACCAGGTCTAAACCAGGACTAAACCAGGACTAAACCAGGACTAAACCAACTGAACCAGGACTGAGTGTTGGGACGGTCCCAGAGGTTTGCGCCCGCGTAAACTGTCAGATGATCAGGACTAAGACCGGGACCAGACCAGGACCAGAACCAGACCAGGACGAGACCAGGACTGAGACTGGAACCAGACCAGGAGTGAGACAGTGACTGAGACCAGAACTGAGACCGGTTTAGTCCTGGTTCAGTCCTAGTTTAGACCTGGTTTATTCCTGGTTTAGCCGTTTGCGGCACAAAAGTCTGGCATCGAAGTTTAAGTCACGGAAACGGGAAACGGCCATTATCCGTTTTTTCCATTATTCATTTAAACCCAAAATCGAAAACTTTGGTTTTGGAGACAAATATTGAAGAAAACTGTTTTTTGTTTGTCTGTTTGTTTGTTCTCTCTTTTTGTTTTTATTTTGAAAAACGAATGAACGAATGATACACAGATTTTTATATTATGTTGTATCCTTGTGCACAACTTCAAACATATTGGCCACACAGCAGTTCTGTTTACCACAGTGCTTTTCTCATACCGTGCAGCCCTACTGTCACACACCATTGCAACACGGACCCACACGGACGCTCCAGAGTGCCACAACAGTGTATGAAAAATCGTGAAAAAAGCCCACGGTAAGGACTTGTGAGAGGCAGACGACGGTGAAGAATAGTGTCGGCCATGTTGGATGACACCAGGAAGAGGAGTGATAGATGAATCTTCACAGAGGACGGGCAGGATCCAGGGTCACTGCTTGGCCACACACAGATACACACCAGGCACATCTTTACAATAGTAGTGTCCTAATCTGATGAGAACTTGTGAAGACAGCTTGGGGCCTTGCTTTTCAAAATGTGCAAATGTATGTGTGAGAGCTAGAGGGAAGTCACTGACCGCTGGCTACATGTCACAGTTAATCTAGAAGTGGCCATTGTCGCAAACAGACTGGATATTATGCGGATTAAGTTGGTTTGCCTTTGGTGGTTTGTTCATAATATTAAAAATAAGCTTTAAAGGTGCACTGCGTAACATTTCTAGTGGAGGATTTGCTGCCTCCTTGATTAAACCATCACATTGGAGCAAGCACAGATAGATATGTTTAATGTCATACCATGGACAATTCCAGGGAAGGCAATAACAAGCAGGACAAGCAAGCAGGTAGTAGATCCCTCCACCAGAAAAGTTACACAGTGCATCTTTAAAATTGACAGTGAACTCTTTTGTATAGGTAAAGGTGCACACAATAACTTTTCTAGTGGAGTGTCTGCATTGTTTCTAGTGTGCTAAATCATGGCATGAACTTATCTATGCGGAGACTACAGTGTCAATTTACATGTCAGATCTGTGGAGAGCCAAGCCCATTCACAGTAAAAATCCATATTCATATTTAGCAAATGTGATAGACAATATGTCAGTTTAATGCAATACTGTGAAACATTCCAGGCCAATCAATAACATCTCCATGGAGACAAACTTGTAGTGCATGACTTTCCACCAGAAAAATGACAGTGCACTTTTAGGCAGATTATTCTGAAATATACTATACCTATAACTTAAATGTATTATTCAAATTAAAAGCACTTCTATGCACTTTTATTCAAAATGGAAAAGTCAATAAATCCTGTATCTCTCTCTGCTAAAGAAGTCTTAGTTAATAATTTCTCAGATCTGTCTTGGAGTGGAATATTTTCTTTGATTCTTCAAACATAATGTGAAACATTCTCAGTGAATAGAATCATTTCATTCAAATGAGAGGAAAACATGTCAATGCCAATAATACTTCTTGTGTGCACATTAACACGCTGTATAAGCATAGTATAAGTATAGCATTTTTCCACCTACAGAGATGATATTCTCTTAACATAAGAGTTGTTTTGGCCAAAAACCTACTTAACATTTCAAACTTTCGCTTCATGAATATTCAAAACCTTACATTTTATTTTCTGCTTAAGGATATTCCTTGAAACTGCAAGACCTAGTGCCCTCTAGAGTGAACTTTCTACTTATTTTAATGATTATGTCCTTGTGTAAACCTAAAGTTTGTCTAAGTTAAAGGTGCACAAGTTTTCTGCTTGCTGATGCATTCGCTGTATCAGACTGTTGTAATGAAGAAGGAGCTGAGCCGAAAGACAAAGCTCTTGATTTATGATTAACTTTCCTACCCTGACCTACGTTCATGAGCTTTGGGTAATGACCGAAAGAACAAGATTGCATATACGAGTAGTCCAAATGAGTTTCCTTCTCAGGGTGGCTGGGCGCTCCCTTAACGAAAGGGTGAACAGCTCAGTCACACAGGAGGAGCTCAGGGTAGAGTCGCTGCTCCTCCACATCGAGAGGAGCTAGCTGAGGTGGCTGTTCTGTTGCCTCCTGGATGCCTGGAGGAAGTGTGTGTGGAGAAGGACTGTGGGCATCCCTGTGTAGACTGCTGCCTCCACAACCTGCCTCTTGGTACAGTGGAAGAAAATGGATGGGTCTGTTCTCCATGGCATCAAACTTTCTCCACGGAGATAAGGATTTGACAACACTAAATTATTTCTTTTCCATGCAAATAAAGCTCCATGAGAGAAAAAGGTGGCAAACCGTCAATCAGAAAAGTTACGTAGTGTGTATTTGAGTGTATTTTTGTTGTATACCGTTGTAATAAATGTTCTATTGTTGTCCCATAATTGTTTATACACTAACAAAATAACCATGCCACTCAACCATCCACATCACACACTCTGCTCTGACAGAGGAGTTTCAGGTGAGGTTGTGGTTGGAGACAAGCTTGTCTTTAATGGGGCTTTCTGTGCGCGTCTTTCTGCCAGTCGCACCTTGTTCCTGGGGCGCTTTGTTTCCGCGGCGACTTGCTTCTCTCTGATCAGATCAATGTTGCCTTTCTCTGCAATGCACCAACCAGTAAAACACATCACAGGCTACAACTCCAACTGCTATAACCTCAACACGCTGTGCACACTGTAGTTCTGTCTTTGTGGCTTGGCCTCAAAGTGCCATCGCTCCTGGAAATCAAAGTACTACAACAATACACAACTAGTGGCAACTTGTTTCTTTCGATCAAACTAAAAATCGTAATTACACTGCAGCTGTGCTCTTTGGATATACTTTGGGTCAGGGTTATGTGAGGTTGCAACAGTTAACTATGCCTATAGGGGAAAACAAGCAAGTTCACAATGTAGTCTATAGTGTTAGTGCCGGGAAGTACAAAAACAGATTTCAAGCAAGATTTATGTCCAACAAAATCTAACCTTTCACACAGCTAATGAGCACATGCTTTCCTTGTTCTACAGAGGCATAATTTAACAGAATATACTGCCCCTGAGTTACACACAGATCCCAGTGTGTCAAATTAGCTTAATGGTAAGTGCTGCTACTGGTTATGGTAGGGGTAGTTATAAGAGATCAACCAATATGGGCTTTTTCATGTCCAACGTCGATAGAGATTGTTTAGAATTCAGAGCAAATGACGGCCGATAAGCTCTGCTGATATTTTTGAGCCAATATGATGAGGCGAGTTTGATTATTTTCCACAAATTATGTAACTCAAATTTACTACAAACTCACCCAAAGCCCTTTTTACTGCAAACCTATGAGAGCGCTGTGTAGTTACGTTTGTGGAGCGATGTCTCCATATTAATGTGTTAATATAAAGCTTTGAATGTATTTTTTAAGATGCTCATTGACCAAATATCAGCCTGTACTAGAGATTTAATTTTGATACAGTCCAAATATCATCTGTCTTTATTAGTTATAGTACAGACAGATATAGCATCAGTAGTAGTAGTAATTCAAATCTAGCTGGTTCTACATATAGACCTGCATATAATATTAATTCAACTAATTTATATTAAGGGTGCACTGTGCGGCTTTTCTGTTGGGGGTTCCATCAAATTCTTGTCTCCATGGAGATGTTATTGCTTTCCCTGTAATGTTCCACAGTATGGTATTAAAGCTAGCTACACTTTTATGTGACATTTGTATGCAAATATTTCAAAAAAGAGTTTTGCTTATACTTTTTAGCATTAATTATTTTTCGTAATTTCATCATGTGCAGCACTTTGGGCACTGTATCAGTTTATAAATGTGCTGTATAAATAAACCTGACCTTGAGCTAAACTTATGTGTCTTGCACTATTCAGTTGCAGGTGTTTTTATTGCATGACTTTTAAAACTCTGTGAGCAGGGATGCCTTTCTATAGTTCTTACCTGTAACTTGGCACCATAACCCCATGGAGATAGATAAGTTTAATGTAGTACTGTGACACATTTGTTTGTAAGTGTGTATAATGTTCTGAAATACTAAATGAGACCCCAGTTTTAGCAGCTGCAATGGGAGGCATCTTTCACTGGCAACACTTTCCAGCTACCAAGAACATGACCTAAAAACCCAGAATCCATTACTTCAAACCAATTAACAGCCCCTGTAGTTTAATTTGATCCAATAAAAAATCTAGCTGGCTTTGTAACAACATCCCCTGGTGATTAATTGTGTAATAAGTGTCATTTTAGTCTTCGTCCAGAGTTGGTGGAGGTGGAACTTTGGCTGAACCCGCTAAGCTAGCCTGGGCCCTCCAAAGATCTCCTCCTCTTACTGCTATCAGCGCATGGCTCAATGGCACCTAATTTCAGCCCATTCACAAAGGCCAATAGAATGACGAAATGGAGAGCTGATAAAGCATGGCGACTCAGCTATTTAAGCCACTCATGTGAAATGGTGTCTGGGGTTTTTTATACGTTCTAATGAAAGCCCAGTTTGTCGAGTGGATTAATGTTAAAGGGGAAGTGTGCTGAAGTAGGCTTATTGCAGAAAATTGGACCTCCAAAGGAACAGAACATGTCCCTGGATGTGTGTGGTTTAGACTAGTTAAGTACAGAGTGGAGTCTTTAAAATGTGAGTTTGATCTACCAATAATGTATGCACATTTTACTTTATTTATTTATTTGCTTTTTGAATATTGGCCTTTGCTTTATAATGAAACCCTCAGTGCTTGTTTTAAATGTCAATGTCTGTTTAAGAAATTGGAAAAAAATTGTCAGGAGAGGAAATGTTCAATGCTTTCTTTTGGATGGTCAGCTACCCGCTTGTCTCCATGGAGATGCTATTTCCTTTCATTTTCTCTATCTCAATGGAGACCAGGTCAAATCCGTGGAGAGGTGACCTGGCACAAAGTAAGAATGTATGATTTCAAGGTATTTATGAACAGTAAAAACACCTATAGTTAATGCAAGTTAATTCAGTATATTCTAGGAAAAGCAATCATATATGGATCTCTTGTGCACCTTTATACACAAAATGACTTTTTCCATAGCAACTTATTTGTGAATCTAAGTGGTTGAAAGAAGTTAAAGATTGATTTCAGTTGGGGTTACAGGGTTTCTTGGACTTTCGTCATGCCTTATGGCAAAAGGCACAGGTTCTAATTCACTACAGGCCTTTTTCCCCATTATAATATTGGAATTTGTTTATGTACCCGTTGGGTTTAATTATAACCCATCTGAATATGGAGTCAATGCGCAGAGTAGCACGGCAATGACTCAAGGGGCACAATTTACATGGAGTGAAGCCAAGACTGATAATACATTAATGGGGCCATGTATAGAAGAAGCTTTTTTAATTATGTTATAATTAAGGTCTATCATACCAATCATTAAATCATATCATTTAAGATATTTTGGCTAAAAATTTCTCCTAATGAAGCATTGTCTCAAAGTAGCCCCTGTAAGTTTAACAAGTGCAAAAACTTTTCTTGTTAATGTGAAAGTTGGAGTGTTTTGAACCTTTCTTTTGTTGTAAAGCACGAACGTTACCTCTTTTACACTCAGCACTCAGCTTGTGTCATTCTAAATAGCTAACAAGCTTTCTGTGGCTGCTTCAAGTCTAACTATTTCCAGCAGGTTTAATGCAAGATAATGGATTGCGCAGAAAGAGCAGACGTTCGTAACTCTGGGAGTCGAGCAAAGTCTACAAAGTATGTGACCGCGATAAGCCATAACTTTCACTTTGTAATGACGGATGAAGGCTTCGATATGTTTTAATAAGTCATTTCTCCAATAAGGTTTGCTCTTTGGCCTTAGCACCTGATTCATCATTGATCAAAGTTTAATTAAAACTTTTGATTAAAGCTCAGAGCTGTAAAGGTCCACAAGGATGTCAGAGGGTTCAGTTGTTCACACTCAAGCACGCAGCGCATTATTCTCTCACTCCATTTCATAGTCTCAATTGCACCTTATCTAACATCCTCCTTTATCTCTGATTGTGTTTTTTGCTCCCTCTTGTCTCTGTGTGCTCGTGCTATCTGTGTCTCTAGCATTTGTCAGTCTTGCACCTCTTTCATTTAGCCCGTCCCCTCTCAGCGGCTGTCCTAATGTCTTTTCCCCCCCGCGGTCTGTCTCTACCTGCCAGATCCTTGGGGGAGGTTGCTTCTTTGGCGACAGATGGCGGTCTGTTTTTCATCTCGATGGCCACTCGGGAAGTGAAGCGGGCCTTAGTAGGGGAGAGCACTTCTTCACTAGCCAAAGAGTCAGTCCTAGACATAATGTTCTGGCTTGTGCTCTCCTCCTCCACCAGAGCAACAGTGTCTCTGAGGGTGTTGCTAGGCGACACGGCTCGGGACGGGCCCAGCTCTTGGTCCTCTTGACCATCAGTCACTTTGGATGCAGACTGAGGGAGGACCTGTACCTGTCCTCCTTGCCCGTTGCTCTGTGTTCTTGGTGCAGCCGCAGAAATGGCCGCTTTCCCGTGGCCCGTTCCATGGCTGTACACTTTGTATCGTATCATTAAGATAATTATAAAAACCAGAACCGAAGCCACAATGATTCCACCAATGATAATGATCATAGTTCCTCCCAGAAAGTGGCTATGGATAGCCTGGCACTGACTGAACTCTGTGTCGGTGTTAAAGGAGAGACATCCCAAAGGGCGAGTGGCAGTGAGTGAAGTGACCACATCATCAAACACCGCCAAAACACACAGGTCGTAGCTCCGCCCAGGCGCCAGGTCACGGACCAGGAAGTCGTTGGTCGTGGATGGAATCATTCTGTCAACACAAGAAGAGAAAAAACAATGTTAGTAAAGTAAGTCTATTTTAGCTTTGCTTGATTATCTCAATTCTAAGAGAAGCAAATTTGTCCTTATTGCCCCCCACATGCATCTATACTATCCATCTAGCATACATATCCATTATTATGCAGTGTGTATTTTTATTTTTTTCATATTATGAGTCTCAAATTCCTCAGACCATACACCACCTGTTTTTGGATCCCACATGTTTTTTGAATGTGATTACCACACTCCATTTGCTTACCCGTGTTTGAAATGTACCAATTCCATTTTGAAGGATGAAACTATTGGTATGCCACTGCCTCTAACCAGGGCAAAATGAAGAAATATGTGGATTATTTTCTTCACTGATCAAACTTATGGACATGAGGTTGTATGCACCAAATGCTAATAAGGCTCATGGTATGAAGGTGCTGAATAAATGTCACACATTACATACATGTATGAACTTGGGTATGGGCCTGTTACATTCATCACTACTGCTGTGGTATTCAAACTGTGTGAATAACTGCATTACTAGCAACATTTTATGAATGTCTTTATAGCAACTTTGTCTGAATCTAGTCAACTACAGTCAAATAATAAGATTGTTATTTAAATCTCACACATATTTTCCAGACAAGTGAATATTGCATGAGAGCATGCTTTTCAGTGCTGATACAAAGGTGGTAAATAGGGAATTATTTGTCATAACTTTCAAAACAAAGTGGGGAAACATATTTACTGTGGTGACATTTGTAAAGGTCATGTGGCAGAGAAAGCTTTCAGATTGAGTTGACTTTCAGATGAAATTCTACAGGTGACTAAATGAGCTCTCAAAAAAGGAAATTTGATATGTAAAGTCCAAATGAAGGGTGGGCCAAATTGACAAAAATTAAATATCTTAATATTTTTTGGATTATATCTCCATGACAATGAGCAGATGATAGTATGGCAGTTCATCAAAAGTATCTATAAATGTCTTGGTTGAGTTTCAAATATCTCGCTAAATATGAATGGAATGTGAAATGAACTACAAACCTCCAAAAATATGACCTATGCCAGCTCTTCTTGTAGACTTTTAAAAATATTTTCTATTATGTACTCAGTATACTGCCAGCTCCATCTTTGTTATCTTGGCCTATGTCATCAGAGCTATATACTCCCTACAACAGACTGGACTGGACAATACTCTCACAATGTCTTCAGGGTCCATGTCTCGCTCTGATGGTGAAACTCTAGGATGACTTCAGTTTATTCTACCACAGTACTTGTTCAGCATACCTCCCAAACTACATTTGTGATAGCAATAAAAAGTTAAATTCTGTCAACTGGACAAAAGTTTTTAGAGAGAAAGTTTCGCCACTCATCATTTTCTCCTGTTGACACATTTCAAGGTTCTTTTGCTGTAGGCAGTTGAGGCAAAACACAGGCAACATTTGTGATATTATTCATTTTTCATTGTATCTTCCACCTTTTGTGAAAATTGTGCTTGCCACTGCTACCTTTACCACATTTACTAATACCTAAATAACCACCTTACTTACTCCTAAAGTCCTATACATATTTTATTATTGAAATCAAGTAATACAGTGCACTTTGATTACCTGTACAAAAAATATCTCTGAAATTATTATTTTACTTCACCAAAGGGAAAAAAATAAAATAAAATAAAGTATTACAAACTCGAAGTGCCCTCATAACACTGTGCACCGTATTATTTAATGCATGGCTGTGTCCCCACATTACACATTTTTTAAAAGTAAATCTAGGTTATAATGTTGTTTTCCTTATCAAAAACATACCTGGAGTTTTGTTTTGCTTCATTCACACATTTAAAACACAAATCCTGCATATTTAATCTGAGTTCTTCTGTCAAACTGAAAATACTTCATCACTTCTACGTCATGTGGTAACACAGGAAGTGCTCCAGTGTTTTTAAAACTCAATCCACAACTTCTGGATAATTTCAGCCCTGGAACAGCCAATCTCAACTGAACTATACTGAACTAACTTGAAAACTACTGCTTTATGAGTTTGGGAGATGTAGACAGACTAATAAACCAGGATTACTCAAACATGTGAATGAAATAAAACACAACTCGAGGTATGTTTTTGATGAGGTAACATTATTATAACATGGCTTAAAGCTCACAAGAGTCATTTTTTTATAGTGTCCTTTCTATTACATAAGTGCAACATACATAAATAAAAATAAATAAACCCTAACCTCCTTTTCTTCTCCCCTTATAGCCCAGTGTGTGAATGATGTTCTCTGTGCCACACTACATGGCACGGTGCTGTAGGTGACATTGCACAGTGGGCACGCTGTCAGGGCTTGGCACAGGCTTGAATCAGAACCAGCCCAGGTCCTGCGCAGCTCCTGCCAACACAAACCTGCCCGAGAGCAGCCCTCTCTGTGCTCCTGTCCCACTGCACCGGTCTACAACACAGCCAGTGTCATGCTCGAACAAGTCTTCCCTTTGCTTTTTCATCCATGTTTTGCAGCTATGTCACAGTATGTCCTTATGGAAAGGTCTGTCATAGTAAAAAAAAGTATATAAGATGATAACAATAATATCAAAACCAAATCATAAAGCTGAATTATTCCCAAAATGTATTCTAAATGTGCAATATACATAATAGAATGCAACACTAAAAGTTGAACTGTGTAACTTTTTTGGCAGAAGGTTCATCACCTTCTTTTCTCCACAGAGATACTGCTTGGAATGTTCCACAGTATGGCATTATACTGTATTTCGCTGTTTTTACCTGACAATTCTATTCTAGATTAGACCACAGGATATAACTGTAATGCACTTATAAACCAAGTCACATTTTAAACAAAACTTTGAGTCTGTAGTAACTATGGAAATATAAAGTAGAAAAGAAATAGAAATCATATTTGATGGAGATAAATAATGCCATACTGTGTAATATTATAGCCATAGGAATAACATTTCTATGGCAACAAGCAAGAGTAGGCCCAAATAAAACGCCTGAGATGTTGAGATATTGAGATGCAAGCCCACACACTTTGCATTAAACATACCAAAAAAAGAAAAAAAGAAAAAAGAAAAGAAAAATAATAATAATAAAACTCAAAACAAGCACACACAAAATACATGCTTTAGTTTTAGTCTAACATTTTTTGTCAATTCTTATTTTTTTTCTCCCTGTAGAAGAACTCACAGTATTCTGTTGACTGTGAATAAACTCCCAATACCCATTTTAAGCACCACTTAAGACAGTGCTTTCTTGTTGGTAATTATTGCAGTAAATCCCTCTCACTAAGAGATGATTGTATTATTGATTCTGTCTGTAATCACATTATTTCTGATCAGTTTATATGCCTGCACCACCAAGCTATTATTGTATGTCAGATATAGGATGATACATGGACGCAATGTACATATCCATTTAGTGCAGCCTATGGCATAAGACACCCTACCACACTGGTCCTTATTTCCCTATGGAGATTGCAATTCTGCAGTAATCTGACACATATCCAGGACCCCCCACTCTCCCCTTTCCCGTACTGCGGCAGAAGTAATCTCTACGTGATTAAACACATTCTTAATTCTTAACATGTCACCTGTAATCTCAGTCTCACCCAGGGCAGGACACCACTATCCTGGGGGAAATTCCAGCAGGTAAACAACATTGCCTCCTCTCTGTAGGTATATTAGTCAGCCCTATCTTTTTGTCACCTACGATACATTTTCTTTCGATTCCATTCAGCTACTCCCACATGAACCGTGAGACTTTGTGCCATTGCATTCACATAAATATTCCCACCTCTGTATGCGCGGAGACAGGCTACAGGCAGTATTTCAGAGAGAGGCAGGATTGAAGGGAAGTGGTTGGGAGGGGCAGTGGGCAGGAGCAGACTATAGGCCAGAGCGGTCTCAGTGCCAGGCTTATCGACGGTATTGAACCTCCTCCAAGAACATGCACGAATACCCTGGCAAGAAGGTCCAGCTTTGTCTACTGTCTCCTTATGTGTCAGAAGATTTGGCTATGAAGTCAAATACAATAAATTATAAAGCACAGCTCACGGCAGTGTTTTTCTGGTAAACATTTTGAGATTAATACTGTATTTTTCGGACTATAAGATGCACCGGCCAAAAAATGCATAATGAAGAAGAAAACATAGTTGCACCGGACTATAAGTTGCACTTTTTTAGGGGAAATATATTTTAGAAAATCAGAGACCAGGAACTGATATTTCATTTTGAAAGGCAAGTTATAGTATTAACAATTAGAAATTTTAGTAAGAAATGCACTCATCTTTGCACTATTCAAAGAAATGTCTACAAATTCTAAAATTAAAATAATAAATTTGATTGACAGCTGTAATAATATATGAGATTTCTGCAAAATTACATCAAAACACTTCAGGTCATTTCAGTTTACACACATTAAATCAATAGACTATATCAGGAGGCAGCTGTCATGCTTGTTGGGGAATCTTATACTATATTATACATACTTATTTATAGTTAGTATTTTTTTCCCTTATCTTTCAAATGCGTTGTATGTATTTCTCCTGCAGACCACATCCAGACTGTTAAATTAACTTGTAAATTTGTGCAAATATTGACAGATTCTGAGACCGGCCTTAAATGTGAATTCCACCATGCTCTGCTTGTTATCGTCTGGTCTTATGGCGTCTCAAGTCACTGCGTTAATCTATACACGCTACACGGTCTACACGCTACTCTTCCTGATGAGCCGTGGGCAGATGGCATGTCATAAATATCAATTATGTTATTATGGATCTGCTTTGGATCAATCACTTCCAAGGCAGACTGGCTCCGACTGCATCCAAGAAGCCCTCAGCAGCTCCAGATTATCTCTCCTAACCATCAGCTGTGCCTTCAAATGCTGTTTCTCCTGTGCTTGTCACGGAGGGCACATCTTGAGAGAATCACACGGATAATCTCCCGGAGTGTCCCCTGCTGGAGCACTGTGTTCTGAATTGGGCTCAAACCGTGA